TAAAAGTAGAAGCAAATAAGAAGAATGATTAGCAGAAACTGTGCCAGGTAGGGACTTGGGACTTGCAGCAGAGACAAAATGTAAAGGGAAGCTGATGAGAGGCTTTTAGGAGGCATGGGTAGAGACTTCGTAGAGAGAGCTGGGTACAGAGAAAGAGGATGAAAGCACCAGACACAACATGCCGTTTTTCTGAAGCAACATTTTGAATGGATTCATATAAAAAGTAGAAACTGGGAGAAGAGTCTAGATTAGAAGAGACTGCAGTCATAGCATGAGAGACCCTCATGATGAATAAGTGGAGAAACAGGTGGATTTTGAAAGAGCTGAGGAACTGGCATAGTCTGACAGTAGAAAGTGTGATGAGCAGAAAAGGATGTTGCATGAAACTCTTCACCCCAGCAAAGAATGAAGAATATCCAAGCTTGATAAAGAAGAGTACACAAAGCTATTGCTATAACAATTAAGAATAATGCCATTTAATTTTGACCTGCTGTCATTCAAAATTCAAAATGTTCTCAGCTTTCTCAGATATACCAGCAGGTGTATTAGAAATAGATAAGTCTGCATGCTTGAGTCCCGTACGTTTAAAAACCAGGCAAATCCAATATAAGGCTCACATCAGCTTAAACACTAATTAAACACAGCAATGCAGATTTTGTCGTGCCTTCTTTTCCTGCCTCAGGTCTACTCTGACAACTATGGAGAAAAACAATCCTTTGCTCTTTGCTTTTACTCCTACAGGGAGAACCATTTCAGCCTCCAGGGACTGAATTCTCCATCCCCTCCTTCCACACACATAACCTTTCCAGCTGTACACTGCTATAGTCTTGCAGTGACGGAGACAGAATTGAATAACTGAGACAGATTCTCCTCTCCATTACCTAGCCCAGCTCCACTGACTTCAGCATGAAGTGAGTTGTGGCAGGGAGACTGAGAAGAGAATTTGACCTGTGAAAAACAGTAATTAGAACTGGTAGCAGCCAAATATGGAAGGCTTTAGCCACAGAAGATAAATGATTTTGCTCTTTCAAACTCATTTATACCTTGCCTTAAATTTTTTTCTGCATAAACTTCTCTAAATTTCAGTAGCGTTCCTCCGGTCTGATATGACAGCATGATATGTCCCTAACTGCTCGGAGGGGCAGGGAAGAGGGGACAGAAGGCCATGCAGGTTTAAACTTTTACAGACAACCAGAGATGTTCAGTGTTTAATATCACTAGCTTCACATAATTGTAGGTGTGTGTACATATATATGTATGTATGGATGCATGCATGCATATACTATGCAGAAAGAATATCTCCCAGACCACTTTTAAGTGTTCTAGAGTGCTGAAAATATCAACGCCTCTTTCATTTTCAGTTATCTGTAAAGTTTTAGGTCACAGTGTGTATTGGCGTGCTTGTGGGGGGGGGAGTGTTTTGGGTCTGGTTTGATTTTTTGTTTTTAAGCAGCTGCCCACAGAAACGAATCTTTCCAGAGTTCACTGGACTCACTTAGGTTTTTTGGTGGTAAAAACTATCATAAAACTGCTGAAAGAGTAAATTTGGGTTCGGAGCAAATTTGGGTTTGGGTTTATTTTTGATAAAACTTTCCGGCAAGATAGCAGAATCCCTCTCACTGCAAGACAAATTCTTTCAACCTATTGCTCATTCTGTTAATGGTTTTGCTGAAATCAGGCGCTGTTCACCAAGATAATCTTCCAGCCTCCTGTAGAGCAGTGTTGCAGAGAAACCAAATGGTATATACATATGTCATCTTTCCTGTTACTAGTCAACAGTAATGATGGTGAAAAATAAAGAAAAGCAGCTGCAGTTTATGCTACTCCCACTCACAAACATATTCTCCTTTCTGAATTAGGGTTGTAAGAAAGGCTGAAATAATAGAGTACAGAGTATTCTGAAACTGCAGTCCAAAAAGAGCTGGAAGTATACAGGATGTGTTTCAAACAGAACAATGAAGAAGAAACATTTTGCTATTTAAAAAAGAAGGAAGAAACCTAAAAAACCCCAGACATCATTCATAAACTTTGTCTTGTTCAGTTACAGGCCAAGCTTGGCTAGTTCTGAACACATTGCATGTGGCCTCTCTTTAGGAAGAACATATTTTTCCTGTCTTGTCATAGAGAATATTACTTTGTTTCGTGAATAGGATCAAGCACTAAATCTGTTTATACTTTTTCAGTACCCGTAATCTGTATTCAGGGGTGATGATTATTGTTATCTAACAGATATTTTAAAAGAGATTTCTACATTTTATTAAAATCTATGCAGTTACCATTGACTTGAACCATGCAGTTGAGGGCACAGTCTGGACTTAGTATAGCTTGACGCTCCTTGCTATTTGTTAAGGCTGAAGGGAACTTCATGATGGCTCAGGCCCCCGCTTGCAATAAGTAGACTATCGAAAATAACAGAGATGTGCTGATTTCTATCTGATGATTTCTGTTAACTTTCTCTTGGTATCCTAAAAACATTGCAACTAGATCTGAGTCCGGATTTTTCAGAATTAATCTAAAGCTGATGCTTTTCTTATATGAAAAATAACACTATCCATTTGACTGTTTAGCAGCAGAAAGGATAATTGCTTTGTTTTTTTCTTTCTCAGCAAATTCAAGCTTGGAAGGAAATGTCTAAAACTTCATGTAGCCTTTGTGGAAATACAGACCTGAAATATCAGGCTTCCTTCTTCCGCTAAACATTCACAAGTTATCAATGAAAATGTCAGCTCTTCATCATTTGCTTTGAACAAATTCATCTTATTACTTGCTGGTAAGGATGCTCTTGTGTTCTTTATTGAGTTTTCTGTGCTAACATTTTGCTGATTCTGCTCCCACTGTATCAGTGATAACACTGAGTCAGCCTCCCTCTTATGAAATTCTGCCATTAAGCCTCCTCCGTCAGTGGGGGGTTATTATTAAGAAGCGAGACCTCTTTTTAAAAAACAAAGAGAAAACAATGCTAAGTTAGATTTTGTTCTGGTGTTTTGTTACACTCCCAGATATTGGAAGTACTTTATTATTAAAACAAATTGCATTCCATAGTCATTGAACTTTTTCTCCTCTTCTTTAAATAGGACCTTAACTTAATCCAGAGAAAGTCAAGGGGTGATATAAACTCCAGCTCAGAGCTTTCCCAGCAGTGTTACAGGTCCTGCTTGCAATACACAAGCTGCCACAAAAACTACGACACTGAGCAGACCACTGATTACAAGCATTGCAAAAAGTCTGGAAACCCCTGTGCAAGTCCGTATTCCAAGATGGACTAATTTCAATTAGAATGATTTCAATAGCTGATTCAATCAGAACACGGAAGCTTAATTTTAACTTGTTTGAAGTATCAGTTTGAACCTTACTTTTCCTATTTGTGTTGTGTATTTGTGTAAATTATTTGCCTAAAGAAAGGTTGATTATTACTGACTGGTACCCTTGAGGGCATATTGATTTGCCAGTGTGTATAGACTTAATCTTAAATGTTTTTTTTTGCCAGCAAAGAGGATGAAATTCAGTGCAATTTAGTCAATTCTAAATTGCTAAGCACATTTATTCACATTCAGATTTGTTGTTTAATAGAACATCTGCCCTCCTCTCCCTACTTTCTTTTAATGAGATTGGCATCCAGGCCCTTTTGGGTTTAATTAGCTCTGTGGAAACATAATTTTGAAAAAAATGCTTTTAAGTTCTTGTTTAAATGGTATATTAAAATAGCAACTATTCTAAGAAAAATATAAGAAAATGTTTTCAAAACAGATTTGATATTTAGATTTATTTATTAAACCAACAAAGTCTTTGCAGTTACTGTCTTTAGCTGATTATTCAGCATGGCCTTTAAGATCTTAGTGCTAGCTGATCTGAGCTTCTTACACACAGTTTTTATTCATAAATCAGAAGACAGTAACTTGCTACATTTTCATCGTTAAATGTTTCTCTAAATGAAAGAGTTAGTTACAGAGCTAAATTTAACTAACTGAAGTTAAAGGAAAAATTTCCCTGCACTTATAGCGGAAATCTAAAACTAGTATTTCAAAGTGATCAGTTACTGATCTGCCCCAGTTTAGCAACTTATGGAATCTTTGATTATTATTTTAATTTAGAGAAATGTCAAAAAAAATTACTGAATTTAGGCATTTATATACTCTCTGTATATTCAAGTTTTCACTTCAATTTAAAAATCCAATTTATGATAAAAAATGTTGGAGAGGCTTTTATTTTTAAAATGGTTGGTTTTTGTCTTTATCTGTACATGCTTTATATTCAGGAATACTAGAAGTCCTGAAAATAAAAGTCTTGACCCTTTAAGAATTCACTTGCTCGTTCATTCCGGTTCTACTCGCAAAATCTTATTCACAAATTCATTTGCTGTTTTTAAACATACGACTATCCATGACCATGCTGAGAGTAATGAAGAAAAAAAGAATAGCTCATTCACCCTCTTTTCAACAAAATTTCTCGTTTCCACACTTCACAGCAGCAATCTGTGCCCTGTTCTGCTAGGTTACCAGGTTCTCAGACACCTCCCCTCCCCAAGCTGAAGGGATCCTCTGCATCCAGGTTTCCAATTCATGAAAGAAGCTGGAGACAGCAGCTATCGTAGACTGGCCCGAGAAGAACAGACAGCTTGGAGGAAGACTTGGAGGAGGATTGACTGGTGATGAGGAAGGATCACGTATTGATTGGAAACAAGCTGGCTACCAACTACCCAAACTGTTCAACAAGGCAGGAAGAGAGCCGGCACTTCTTTGAGACCTCCTAAAAGGTACACTTTGGTTAAAAATCTTCCTAATTCCAACCTTTGCACCAGATTTTGAAGTAGCAAAGGGAAGACCCATCTGTAGTGAAGAAATGCAGATTACACTGATAGAACCTGCTGTGTAAAATAGACAGTCTTCTCACAGCTGCAAATGTGGGCCCATCCCACAAGGTGCTGGTTGTCACAAAGCATCACATCCAAGCGAACATGAATCCCTAAATTTCTGACAAGCACAAGGTAAAAGAAAACTTACCCTTGCACTCTCCTCCACTTCGGGACTTTCACAAGGCCACAGTCCTTTCAGGTCCGCTGGCAACACATCCATTCCTCCCTCACCTACAAAAGCAAAGACATTTTATTACCTATGTGAGAACAAGCACTTCTGAGAGGTTGCTTTGCTTTGTTTGGATCCATTCCTATCAATGACGCTTTGTACCCGGCCTGATATTTCATCATCATTTCTAAAGAAAGCAGAAAGGGTCCAAAAACAAATGACTGAAAAATAAGTGTCTTTAGGCAGCTGGAGATGGCGTTGTGTGCCACAGAGAGTCAGCCACCACTGCAAGAAAAACCTAGCAGGTGTTTAACAGGTTGACACAGGATACAGCAGATAGGGGCAGGCGCAAGATGGAAGTATTCGATTTCGGTGCAGACGCTGCGAGAGCTGACGCTGGCAGGCTGCAGATGAGGGGAAGGTGGCTGCAGTCGGGCTCCAGGGCTGGCCCTGGCGGCAGCGGGGCTGCTGGCAAATTTAGGACTGTTTCTCATCCCCGGTGCCCTAGTGATGCATGAATGCAAGGTAGCCCTTGCCCTGCCCTGCTGGCCCCGGGGACCCCCCGCAGCGCCCTGACAATTGGCTGCTCTGCGCTTGCCCACGCGGACGTGCCCCAAGTGTGCCAATTAGCTAGCTAGTCAGCCCATATTCACCACTGTTTAGCGTAAGAGGTCAGGTTACGAGCACTGCTCACAGGGGTACAGTGCACATAGCCTGTAAAGTGCGGCAGAAGATCCTCTGCAATTTTATTTTCATATCAAGCTTAAGCCTCAAAGAAGAGTATAAGAGTATATCGGGTAATTTCATCTCCAGGGACAAGTTTACTTAAGCATATTAAGCCATATTCTGTTGCTTAATTGCTTTTAGATTTGCTATAGCAATGCCAGTAACCACAATGAATAATAGTGGATGAAAGCTAAATTAAATCAGATAACATTTACTAAACTTTGAAATGAAGTTTTAAGGGTTGCAGCCTTCTTCCCTGCACAAGATAATGACGTAATGAGATTTATGAATCACCCCCAGGAGCACCCTTGAACGTGCGCATTTATATTGCCAAGTCCAGATAGAGACTGTCCCAAACAATATTCTTTATGCTACCACAGCACTGTGTGCACCTACTAAATTTGAAATACTTTTCATTTAATAACGCAGCTTCAAATGGTTCTGTGGTCTTTGGTCAGACAAGGACAGCTATTGCTGCCCTCTGTTGCTACTTCACTCTATAATCTTGGATGTTTCTCTTAAACCCACTACTTTTCATGCACACTTCTCCGCTGTGCTACCATTAGCTACCCAAAACAATCCATGCATTGGAGATGCCCTTCCATTTTGCTGTTCCAAGCAGATTAGCACTTTATATCAGTGCTTGTCTATGTCGTAATCTGTCTATGGATATACAGATATGGTGACTATAGATCCGTGTCCTTCTAATGTGGATGCTTTCTAATCATATTGGCTGGTGGGTCTTGCCTTTTGGACAGCCACAAATAGACATCCTTTATTGTGGAGGAAGACTGCCAAAAGTATTAGTGCAACTTGTGTGCTGAAATCTTGTAGGCGCTTTTAAATTTTTCCAGCAGAGGTTCTGCAGACACCTGACCCCTTCTCTTCCCATGAGCTGACCTAGAATGTCCACATAGTCCAAAGAGTCAGCAGATAGCCTGCAACCAAGATAGACTGTATTTAAACCCATGGTTTTAAATAACCAGATTGGGAGCTTTCTTTCTAGTGGAGAAGTCCACAACCCAGTCATCTAATCCTATGACCTTATCACATGCTTTCTTAACACACATCACTGCTGTGGTGTCCTCAGAGCATTTCTGCTTTGGAAGTGAGCAGAAAGAGATGCATCTAGTTTATTCTGCCCTGGATTCTTTTTTCTGATGTCTTTTCTTTCCCTCCTGTTCACTTTGGTAATCTCAGTCCTGTTGAGCAGATTGGGGTAATCTGAAGACAAAGGAACCTCTTCTTTTTTTTCTGTAGAGCATTTTTACCTACCGGGGCTCTAATTCTCTGTGACACCTGTACGCTCTCCTGCTGTACAAATGCAAATCTAAAATAGAGCTGTGTGCTTTTCTTATTAAAGCACTAAAGCATCCTTTCCTGCCAAGGCCCCCGTGCATCCTACCCTACAGCATTTTTGGACTTCCCAAGCCTTCAGCATTTGGTCCTTGTGTGGATGCCTCTATGGCTATGTTTGCATTAGCAAGCAATGCAGTGCGGTAGGAGTGGATCACAAGACTGGAGCAGCTGCTAATGAGATTTCTAGATCTACCCTGTAGGTAATTCAAGGTTTTATGTTAGATTGTTTCATTCCCTTGACCAAACATTACCATAATGTCAGAAGGATATCCTTGATCTGGATATTTGTGTTTCCACTGGGGTTTGGAGAATATCTGATGTATTTTGTTTCCTCCAGAAGGATTCTCACCTGTAACTCCACAGTCTCATCATATAGTGTGAATGACCTCATGTTTGAAGCAATTATAAGTATGGCTGAGGGAAGAGGAATGAATTCACGAAAAATCACACTATCGATCTCAGCCAAAATACTGATGTGGGCACAGCCTGTATGCACAAAGAAAAGGCAGTCTAGGATACGTTAATTGGAGATGTAGGTTGCCTAATTTCATACCTATACTAAGAACGTCACTCTGCGTAACTTTGGGTAGGCACTAGAAGTGACTTACATTGTCTGTCTGTGAGTGGTATTCCCCACTGATATTGCAATACGTTAAAGATAATAAGGAGAACATTACAGTGGTAATACATGTGCTTAACTAGAAAAAAGTCATTCAAGCCTAAGGCTTAGAAACTAGAAGCGCAAGAAAGAAGATAGATTCCCCCTTGTTTCACAGATTCATAAATACTACAAGTCTGTAGTAGACTTCATCTCTGCATTCTGTGTTTGGTGACAGGCCATGTCTGCCGTAGCATAGACCTGTGACTTGATCTGCATGAAGGGATAGGGCAAATTTGCAGTTACCCTGTGATTAAAGAAAAATCCCAAGCATGCTCATATCCATGGACATGAAACGTCCACAGCACAGCTGAAGTTTTACATCTCTCATTGTCTCTACAGCAGTGATGAAGTAGCTCAACCAGAACAGCTGCAGGGCAGCTCAATCAGCACAATTTGGGCTCAGTGGCTTTTCATCCATCTCCATGCTTGCTAGCTCCACTTCTGTGCAGCACTGTGCTGACTTATTTGTTTCCTTTTATTTGCTGTTGATTTCAACTGTGAATAGAGTTTGATGGATGACAGGCGTTCAACAATAAAGAGGCAGGACAATACAACCAGAATGAAGCTGAACTAACAGACTCGTTCTTTAAGAGAGGTGTCCATGCAAACTTGGGAGAGAAATCAAGGTGCTGCTAATAAAAAGGATTTTGAGCTGTCAACTAGCCTGTGTAAACCAGGAAAGAAAGCAAAGTATATTGTTAAGAAAAAAAAGGATGATGTTTAACAGTAAGAGGCAGATGGTCAGTCTCTGGTGGTGAAGCTGACAGTAAAAATACAAAATTTGGATGAAAAGCAGAAGTACTGCTGAGGGACCTAAAAAACCACTGTGCAGTAGGTGTTAACAGCACCTACTCACTGCTGTTAACAAGCCGGGGACATTTTAACAGTTGGCTCCTAAAGCACTGTTCTCCACGGCCTGTGACTGTGGGGGTTTAATTCTGTGTCGGCTAGCTGTGGAGTAGGGCAGCACACTCATTTCCAGAGTGCTTACTTAAACTTATTACAGCTTGCCAGCCCCTTTGGGTTTCTGCTCTACTTCTGTAGGGGCTGTAAAAGGAAAGGAAACTTTAAGATGCAACTACTACAAAACGTGTGAACTTTCCAAAGGGGCCCACCTCGCCTCTAGAAAATATTTGAGTCCACAGATGCAAAATACAAACAAACAAACAGACAGACAAGCAGAACCCAGAAACCACAGATTTAGTCTCTTAATTTTGCTATAAATTTAACAATAGTGTTCTATGTTTTCCGAATAGGTACTCCATTACTGAATTGTTAAGCTGCTAGAAAACAAAGCTGAGTCCGCATACAACAGTTTACACAGGGATAGGCTGAATCCATCTAAAAGCTGGCAGCCTACATTTTCTTGAAAAGGAAGCCAAGTGCAAGGTGCAGCGGATAAAGAGACAGGTTGTAGCATAAGAGGAGCCGAATCAAAGAACACTTTTAGGAGGAAGCTTTGTCTCCTCAAAGGCAAAGCTAGATAAAGCACTTATGAGCTTTCATCAGGAAGATTCCTGTGGTGATTGAATCATACTAAATCAAGGCTGCTTCATTTCTTATATGGTAGTCATTTATACCCGCTAAGAAATGTTAGGGCATAGTCAAATATTCACTTGCAAAACAGCTGTAGCAGTTTAGGATGTATTATCCTCTTCAGCTGAGACATGTTATGGGTGAGAGCGTTTTTTGTTCCCTTCAGAGCCAGGTTACATTACATACATTTGCCAAGAGGACGCGGTACTGCTCCCAGTCTGGCTTTCTCTGCCTCCTGATCTGCCAACTGGTCCATTGTTTGCTAGGGCGCATCCTGCCCTGTTCAAACTGGAATGAAACAGGCCAGCTCCAACCATGTGAATTGTGGATCGTCGCTTAACTGGCCCATTCAGTCTTAAACAGGCTAAGGGGGGAGTTCATCTGAAAAACTGTTTTCACTTTCCTTGGGCCATAGGGATTTCTGCTGTTTCCCAGTTTGCTTTCTTTCAGCTGCCTATGACTTCAGTCATTAAAAACTAAAACTAAACTATGTCTTCACACTGCTATCTTGGCGTTGCCCAGCTCAGCCAGCAGATAGGTGTCAGGTTAAACTCTAGAGTTTATAAAGTAGAGAGGAAAACTTCCAGCAAGTGTACTGACATGTTTACTTATGGAACTACTAAATGGCTTGGCTGCTCACGGATTTCTAGATTGGGAGAAGTCACATGTGAACAAGAAGACAAAGATGTAACTCAACTGGCAAAGAAAATTGCTTATTTATCTATCTTTTGCACCTACTTTTCTTTAAAGTAGCTTATGTTCAGGAATTGCATCCTTGCT